CCAGTGACCTAAATATGGATTTATGGATACTATGTCACAATACTATTAATGAATAGAAATCATTTTTTCGATTTTTAATTTACCCACTACAAACTACCTCAAATTAGTAAGGGAAAAATTGTTGCTGTTGTCACACCCCCGCCGGGAATCGAACCTGGGACCTTTGGCTTTACGCACCAATGTTCTGACCACTAAACTACGAGAGGTGACAACAGTAATTAGCACACAGCAAATAAAAAATCGAAAAAATGATTTCCAATTAATATTGCATATTAATCCACTATTAAGTAACTAACAATGTCATAGGATTTCATTAGTGAATAGGTCGTAAATATGTGCATTTCTTTCATCATTTGCGGAATTATTACTGTTACGTGAGCATTAGATCCTCCTTCCTTGCGGACGTTTTTTGGTAGAAAATTTAGAACACAAGTGTGTTGATAAGATAATCATTTGCCTTAGTGCTGCTTCACTTCGATCATCTGAAATTCAAGTGAACCTACGTCCAATGAGTAGTAGGTTTAATGCATCAGTTGGAGTACTGAGAAAAAGCAGCGACATTTCGACACATCTTGAGCTTAAATATGGACAAGAAAGAGAACAGGCACATATGATTCTCTAGATTAAAATATTTCAACATATGCTATGTTAAATTCAAGTCAAATCAAGTCGTTGGTCCTTCGAATTAGTCAATCCTATAACAACTGTCTACAACAAGTATATCACCAACCCACACTTGCTCCTTGTCTGACTACCATATGAATTTCTGTAGGTAATTTGGGTTCTCTGAGAAATAGCTGAAAAAATATTTATGTAACTTTTTCACTACAGTAAATGTATCAACACTTTAAATTGCATTAGTAGCGGTATTGGTATTTTTTTGTTTATTTATTGACTTGACAACGTCTTATAATTCGATGGAGCCGGCTGCACTCACGAAAAAACATGACTCATGCGGCGTTACCTCGCTCTGAGGCGTTCCATTTAAGGTTTGAAGTGCAAGGGAGAGCGCGGAACGAGCGACAAAGAGGCACAATCGGGCTCCGCGTTCGGCAGCGTTCGACATCTGTCTCTCTCCTACTTGAGTGAGCGATGCGTCCGCGTGGACAGCTGCTATACAATAATACATTTCCATTTACCTCCTTCTCTATATCCATACAAAATATCTATCAAACGAATAAAATTAAAACTTTCTTTTCAAAAATGAAACCATTCCATCGGTATTTTCTTACGTCACGTTCAACTATCGTCAGTAAACCGACTTTACAGACAACCGATTTTTTTTAAATTAACAACATGCTGTTGATTTTTACCAGTTGTCTTTACAGAAATTAACTGTAGTTTCGTTATGATTTAATATAGGCACATTGCAAAAGGTAGCCTTGTGCAAAACACACACAAATGTGTTATATGTTTTTGCATCTATGCTACAACTTATTCCGTCATCTTTTACCTTTTATTATTAATGCTCATTTGCTGTATGTTTATTAAAGTTTGTTCAGAATTTGTTAGAGTTCCACATCCTGGTAGTTTAGTAATAATCACGTTACTTTAGCGTTTACCACAGTTTCCGACATGGTATGCAAAATCTCCCTAATATGAGCATACAAGTACTTGCTTGTATGACAGATACACTCTGCCAGGATACAACTCAACTTGACTTAAATACAATTTATTGAAAAGAAGAACTAACCCAGCTTTGATGAAATTAAATGGTCTCAACTCAAGAACATCCCCATTCAGATGAAAAGCTTTTAAAATTCTTACTAGGATAAGGCTGTTTTGCATGATTCTGTCAACGTGTTAAATTCATTTGCGTAAAAACATTAAAAATTGAAGTAGTAGCTACAGATATCCGATAATTCCTAATTTTACATATACAAAGCCTATATTCAAAGGGTATCGTCAATTTTGAGTTTTCGCGGGTTACGTATATTCGATTTTCGAGTTTTCTGTGGCGTTATGTTGGTACTCATGTCTCTCATTCATACCGACAAATTCGGCCATGTTGAATATTCAGTTAATTTTTGACAACTGCTTTGTTTACACATGTTAGGACTCGTCTTCAATTTTTGTCTATTGGAAAAAATGGAATAAAAGAATCTGTATCACATTTTGTGTGAAAAACAAAATTAAGTCCGAATGTTGATTGTCGCATATGGTGAAGCTACCTTTGACAGAAGTAACGTTTATGTGTGGTGCAAAACGTTCTCAGAGTCGAGAAGATGGAAACGACGAATAGCGTGCCTGACGCCCGAGCACGTCAACAATAGACACGAAAACATTGATGAAGTGAAGAAAATAGTATTGGCGAATCATCTAATCACCGTTAGACAGGTTACTGAGGACCTAAACATATCGATTTACTTCTGCCATTCGATTTTTACCAATTATTTGGGCATGAGACGTGAAATTCGTACCAAAATTACTCAATTTCGACCAAAAGCACCATGGCATTAATATTACTAAGAACCTGTTGGACTCTGTCCACGACGACACAAATTTGCTCCAGAGGGTCATAACTGGTGACAAATCATGAGCTTATGGTTATGACGTGAAAACCAAAGCTCAATCATCCCAATGGAAGCTGCCGGACGAGCCAAGACCGAAAAAAGCGCGCGAAGTTAGGTCGAATGTGAAGGTATTGCTTACAGATTTCTTAGATTATGAGTTCTTGTCACAGGGTAGAATGGTCAATAAGGAATACTCCCTGCTAGTTATGCGCAATTTGAGCGAAGCAATCTGCCAGAAACGGTCGGATTTATGAAAGAACAAAAATTTTGTACCATGATAACGTTCCCTACACATCATTGCTTGGTCGCGAATATTTGACCAAAAACAACACACTAATAATGCCGCAGCTACCGTATTCCCAAATCTGACCCCCTGTACCTTTTTCTTGTTCCCGTAGCTGAAGAGGCCCATGAAGGGACGACGCTACGTTACGATTAAGGATATAAAAACGGCATCGAAGGAGGAGGTGAATAAGATCACAAAAAATGATTTGCCGAAGTGCTTCGAGTTTTGGAAAAAATTGTAAATCTGGTGGGGATTACTTTGAAGGAGACAAAATAGATATTCATGACTAAATAAATAAATTTTGAGGAACAAAAAATTCGCGATACTTTTTAAACAGACCTCGTATGAATGCTAAACGTATTACAAAGGAATAAAAGAGAATTTAAAAAGTATCATGATGACCAAAAAATGGCATAGCAGATCACAAAGATATTGTAGGAATTCAAATACAAAAACGGTGCTGCGCGTTCCCCAATCGTGCGCAGTGAACAGAAAACTGTGAGAGTAGAGATGAGATTTCAAGAGAGAATTAGATATTCAAAAGGAAATTAAAGAATTTCTGAGGATAAGTAAATTTTTAAAAAGAATACCTAATGAACTACATTTGGACGACGTTGGTGTTCCTTTCGCGCAATCCAAACTTCTCTTCTTCCTCGTCAATTTTACTTAAGGCCATGTATCCTGCTGATTTCTAATTAAGTGTGAATGTTGTTCTTACTGTATTCATATTGATATTTAAAACGTACTTGTACTTCCTCAAGTTACACAATATAATGTACAAAACGAAATTTATCCGGTCTCAGCAGTTGTGTATCATTGGAATGTACATGCAAAAGTCTCGTTAAAAACAAGATTTACACTGGTATAATTTATCACAGATCCGTGGGGATATCGAGTTTTCCCGATTCGCTTTTTAAATTGAACAATTTAAAAAGCAAACGCGAAGCAATTAATCACGATAATTAAAAATACACCCACACTACAGCAGAACAATCTTTTATTAAAATGCGAACAAACGAATGGATAGTGACTGCAATTATTTTGAAGAAAAGGAAATTCTTTCTAGACACACATTTAGTAGAAATTTTTTCATACTTGATACTTTCATGAAACCGAACCGCTTATAACTTTTCCGAGAAAATTAATTGAGTGTCCTACTTAGGATGAATTGTTAATATAGAGAGGAGAGTCGTTTATTAACAGAGTTATTTAAAAAGTTGGTCCTCTAACGGTAAGGGGCTCCTTAGTCGCATTTAAAAAATGGAAATGTGGTTGAATTGTAAGGCAAAGAGGGCTCAATTTTATGGTATAATTCCTCTCCCAAGGAACCGCCTTCTAGACGTGCCATTTTTCTCCTTTATATAGAACATAAAACCTCCTTATGCATATTTAGCAGGGATTTCATCAATGCGCCTTTAGATTGCTGCCATTTGCACAGAATACGGCAAACTAGTTTGGAAAATGGGTTAATAGCGATAAACGCCTTACTTTTGTATTAAAATGTTAACCGGCGCGGTGGGTTACCATGTTAACAGCACTTTTTATAGTCAAAATTTATGTATGAGAATCAGATAAAAGGAAGAACAAATTTCCATTCGTACCTAAAATACGTTTGGGAATAATTATACTTTACCGATTCTAATTAAAAAGGTTTTGTTTCAGTATTGTCATATTTAAAAAACTTCGAAATAAAAAAAGCCTTAATATTCAACAAAATCCGTTGTCTGTAAAGTCGGTTTACTGACGATAGTTGAACGTGACAACGTCATAAGAAAATACTGATGGAATGGTTTCATTTTTCAAAAAAAATTTTAATTGTATTTGTTTGATAGATATTTTGTATGGATATAGAGAAGGAGGTAAATGGAAATGTATTATTGTATAGCAGTTGTCCACGCGGACGCATGGCTCACTCAAGTAGGAGAGAGACAGATGTCGAACGCTGCCGAACGCGGAGGCCGATTGTGCCTCTTTGTCGCTCGTTCCGCGCTCTCGCTGGAACGCCTCAGAGCGAGGTAACGCCGCTTGAGTCATGTTTTTTCGTGCGTGCAGCCGGCTCCATCGAATTATAAGACGTTGTCACGTCAAAAGTAGTTTGATAAGCTTTTTCTTCAGTTCACATTTGTATGTACAAGTAAGTGTTTATGTTTATTTCGTTAAAATCTGGTAAGTGAAATTTAAATTCGACTTAAATTATTTAGGCTAAATAAACATACATATCTCCAATATGGAATGGATATAATCATCAACACTAAGGTAGGCTCTTAATAATCTCTAATTTCCCTTTGTATCTACACAATCCCTTTTTATAAAGATTGATTCAATTTCCATTATCATGGCTGACACAAAAAGCAAAGCCTATATTAAAACACGTTCTGTCTGTAAGGCAAATATATCGAAATTAATTAATTATCTAAATAATAACAGTATGTGCGATTTAGATGATGTTCAAACTCGTAAAAGCAAATTAGAAGAATATTTTCAGAAATTTTCAGATAACCAATTTGAATTTGAGTTATATTTAGAAGAAATAGAATCAACAGAATTATTAAATATGCAAGAAACGGAACGTTCTGAATTCGATGATCTATATTTTAAATGTGCAAAACTTATAAATCAAAAATTACGTAGTTTAAGTTCTTCAGTATCAAATTCCTCTAAATCAGTTAAATCTGTAGACTCTGAAAATAAAGTACAACAAATTAATGCATTATTGCCTAAAATAGTAATAAGACCGTTTGATGGAAATCCTATAGAGTGGTATAGTTTTCATGATACATTTCAATCGTTAGTTCATAACGATAATGCTATTCCCGCAGTCCAAAAGTTTCATTTATTAAAAAATGCGCTACGTGGAGAAATGACCTCAATAATTGATCCTCTAACAGCATCCGAAGAAAATTATCTTGTTGCCTGGAACTTGTTAAAACAGCGATGTGATAGGCCGCGCATTATAATTCAAACTCATATTAGGGCAATTCTTGATATCCCTGAAGTTTCAAAGGAATCTTCGCACAATATAAGGGCATTGATGGAAAAAGCTTTAATGCACGTTAATGCGTTGAAAGCATTAAAACAACCCGTAGATTCTTGGGACGCAATATTAGTTTATATTATCATTCAAAAATTAGATAAAGGTACCCGCCGGGCGTGGGAAAGAACGATAGAAAATTCACAAATGCCGAGTGTTTTAGAATTAACTGATTTTTTGAGCAAACAAGCGCGAGGTGATGAGTTAGATTTGTCCAATAATACTAACCATAATAATCGTTACAAAAATTCTAATGACAATTTAAAGTCAAATCCTCGAGCAAAAGCATTTGTAGGAACTGAAACTACATCACTTTGTAAATTTTGTAAGGGTAATCATTTTATATATAAATGTGAAAGGTTTTTAGCATTGAGCCCAAGAGATAGGAGCGATGCTGCGAGAGAGCGGCGATTATGTAACAATTGTTTAAGGGATAATCATACAACAAATAAATGTTCTGCGTCAGGATGTAGGACATGTCATGGACGACATAATACATTATTGCATTTCAATGTTTCTAATAATCAAAATAATACAAATAAATCTGAGAATAGCAGTAAACAAATGCAAGAATCTAATAATACTCAAACGCATCTAACATTAGATGAAATTGATAATCCAACACAGTGTTATTCAATCACAACAGATACAGAGGTATTGCTAGGAACAGCTCGCATAAAAATATTCGATGGTTATGGTAAGTCACATGAATGCCGTGTTCTGTTAGACGGGTGTTCACAAACACATTTTATTTCTGAACAATTGGCTAAAAAATTAAATTTAAAACAAGAAGTCATAGATCTACCGTTTTCAGGTTTAGGGCAGCTTACAACACGTGCTAAGTTTCGTGTTAAGGCTACTATTCAATCGCTAACAACACATTTTAAAACAAATGTGGAATTTATAGCTCTTCCTCGCATAACAGGTACATTACCATCTCGTCAAATAAAGAAACATAATTTATCGATTCCAAAAAATATTCAATTGGCTGATCCAGAATTTAACAAG